GTAGTTTTCACCTTTCCCGTACTTTTTCCTAATTTTTGTGAATGACAAATGTTAAAGCACTTAGTGAAACATAAGCACCTCAAATCTCATTCAAATAGGAATAACAGTTCTTAAAATATCTTTATTTTTTTAAAGTTTGCTGCCTTCTAAGGGACAAACGAACCACGAGGTAAATTGTGTCTAATGAACTTATTTTGATTCCAAAAATACGTAGAAGTTCTATGTATACGGAATATTGGAACACTCGGTATATGAATCATACAACAAAACTACAAAACACTAAAAATGTCACCGTCATAAAAGACAACGTGGGTTGATATACAAGTATATGCTTTCAAAAAATTTAGATCAACTTCCAAAAATTGATAAGAAATGTGGAATTTGCGAATTTCAGTCCTTTCTTCAATTTGAAATATGTCTTCAGGAAGAACAGCTTAAATTGATCTGCGAATTTGAAGAGGATCCTGACTATGAGCAAGTTTTGAACTGTACTCCATATACTTTAAAGAACTAAAGATGGTACTATCAGGGTACCTATTGAAACCCTCAGAGAAACAGGTAAACATAGAGAAACATTATGACTTTTAAATATCATTGGTTTGGTTAGTAAAAAAAATTGCGAGATAAAATTATTATAGGTTTTCAAAAATGTAATAATATACAGGGTGTGTCATTTTAAATATCAAACATGCTACTACTTTTTAATTAAAATGGCAACAGTGTAAAGCTGAAAATAATTTAAGTTGATGGAGGGGGTGCGTGTATCACTCTGTATATTTTTGTTAAAAATAGGTGGCGTCTTAACATATTCTTGAATAATAAAATATTTCTCTTTTAGTATTTTTTTTTGTAAAAGAAAACCCCAAGAACTTGTTTTACATTTTTGATCTTAGATATATTATGTAAAGAATAAAATATGATTTGTTCTAGTAATTTATAGGTAAATTTAATAAAATAACCTAAGATACATAATTGGCAAGATGTTTTATTTACAAAGTGAAATAAATTATGTACAAAATAGAAATACGTTATCCTAGCTATTCTAACTATATAGTACACACTAAATTTAATATTTATATAAAAAGACAATATTAAATAATAAATAAGACTAAGAATGATAAACAATAATATAATAATACGTGAGTTTCAACTTATTCTATCATAAACAAAGGTATACACAGTGTGGTCCGTACTGTATTCTGGAAACTTCGGCTGCATATTCTGCAGATAAAAATAAGTAAAAAAGTTCGTATAAATGTATGTCCTAAAATGCTTAGTTTCGGAGATACAGTTGGTTGCAGTTTTTTACTTATTTAATATGCTGCCGAAGTTTCCGGAATACAGTTCGGACCACCCTGTATTGTTTGAGCTCATATATCATAACTGAGCAAGCTACTAAATCACATTTTTTGTTTGTTTTTAATAGAAATTCTCTTATTCTTACTTCAGAATTAATGTAAACTACGTGGCGTGCAGTACCATTAGAGTCGTCAATATAAAGTAAATCAAACCGCCCTCGCGCAAATCATATGGAGCGCTTTAAGCCCATATACGTATTACTTTTTACAAATATACTCAGGGTTCCCTATTTAACCCCGTGTGCAATTTCTGTGCCGTAAGAAAAAGACAACATAACCCAGCTCCATATTAAAACTGCATAAGTCTATTTCACCCGGATATGGATTGAACTGCGATTGCGCCAAACTCCGATTGATTGTTGTTTTAGTTCTGTTTGGATTACTTTTTATTTGTGCGCGTAAAAGAGTGATTTTGTTTAGTTTATTGTTTCCAACTATTTTTTGATATTTTTCCAACTCCCATGATAATGTGTTATAAATAATAAAATATAAATAAAATTGAAGGTTGGGGAAATGTCAGTCAACCACTTCCCTTTAAAAACATCGACCAATGAAAACTTCTTCAGGTGAGGCATGCTCAGTTAAATGAATATCCGGGTGAAATAGACTTATGCAGAATTCCATATTGTTCTTTCACTGTTTGGGCTTCACTTTTTGGAGATTAGGCTGAGTATATTTGTAAAAAGTAATACGTATATGTTTAAGCCCCGTTCTCAGAACAGCGACACGTCAAAAGAACCAATGAGATTTGTACAAAATTCAAACAGCTGTTCTTGGAATTTTAAATTTAGTACAGCTCCCATTGGTCGTTTGAAGTGTAAATCAGTGTAGGTGGCGACAAGACGTCGTTCTGAGAACGGGGCTTAAGCTTGTTTCATATAGACGCGAATCGCGAATTGCGGAAAGCGATTCGCCAAAAAATATTCGTAAAATTTGGACCTATTTCATACAGTCGCGAATTTTTAGGAAAATTTAATTTTTGCTCCACTCCAATTTCTGACAGCGCCGCCATGCGCCATGATCGTTAAAATTAGACCAATGAGAGCAGTTTCGCAAAATCGCGATTCGCGTCTACATGAACAAGGCTTTAGGTTCTTTTGATGTGTCGCTGGCGACACTCGCTGTTCTGAGAACGGGGCATTATGGTAAATTTTATGTCGTGCAGTAGCGCAGTAATCGAAAATTATTTTAATATATCTTGGGTAATCTCTAGAATAAAAATAAGAAAAAATGTGAATATTTGTTGAAATAGTAATAATGTAGTGATACAAAAAAAAGATTTTATGATATTGCCTGCCTGCGTGCATATAATCTAGGCCTAAAAAAGGTACAAACATAGTAGAGGCAGGTTTCTGCTTACCGCCAACCAGCGCCGTCTCAGGGTACCTATTCTTAACCACTCGCATCTCCGAAAAAGCCATATAACAATAATACACATGCGTATAAGCAAAGTTGCAAACGATGTCAAGAATAGGTACCAAGATCGGCGCCGACTACCGGTAAGCGGAAAACCTGCTTGCACTGTTTTTGCACACTAACGCCTTTTTGCCTACATACAGGGTGTTCCACTTACGATGGATACAAGTCAATATCTTGGTTGTTTGTTGAGCGATCTTTTTCATTTTTGGCAGGAGGCTGTATGGCTATAAGACGTACATTTTGCCCAGGGTAAGAAATGTCATACCTCATAGACGTACGTTTTAATGGGGTTTGATATTTTTCGAGTCAAGAGTAAACTACCCTTAGGATAGTATTTATTTCAAATGTGATAAATTATATTGAATTCTCCTTACCCAAGATACTTAAGTTCTAATTTTGATAAATATTGATACAGGGTGTGTTATTAAAATAAGACATTTTTATTTTTATTATTATTTTTTTAAGTACTTACGACGCCACTGGATAAACAACTGATTTATTGTCAATAACCAATTATCAATTAATAATCGATTTAAGTTTTCAGTTAGCTTCCATAATAAAGATACGATACAAAAAAAATAAATATTTTCAATCTATTTGTTTACTTTAAAAAAATGTTTTTTAAGTTTGCTAATACAAATGAATAAAATGAGTTACAAAATAATATAAAAACAATCATTATTAACATTGAAAAACTTTGAAAAATATGCTCTAAACAAAGATTTATAAAACTACAACTAACTAAAAGTCAACATCTTCAACCATCTTCGACCAAACTTAAATCGATTATTAATTGATAATTGGATATAATTGGTTAAAATAATAATAAACCAGTTGTTTCCAAACAACCGTGGCGTCGTAAGTACTAAAAAAAAATAATAAAAATAAAAATGTCTTATTTTAATGACACACCCTGTATAAATATTTATAAAAATTAGAACTTAAGTATCTTAGGTAAGGAGGATTCAATATAATTTATCAGATTTGAAATAAATACTGTCCTAAGAGTAGTTTACTCTTGACTCGAAAAATATCAAACCCCATTAAAACGTACGTCTATGAGGTATCGCATTTCTTACCCTGGGCAAAATGTACGTCTTATAGCCATACAGCATACAGCCTCCTGCCAAAAATGAAAAAGCTCAACAAACCACCAAGATATTGGCTTGTATCCATCTTAAGTAGGACACCCTGTATATGCACGCCACTCGTAAACCATTATTTTTTTTTGCTAGCGGCTCGTGATTGAAAAACTACAGTAAATAATCACTAAATAATTATTGCCTTATAATACTAAATCACAACTATATGAGTTTACTAGATAACAGTGACAGTATACAAGTACTGTCAAGTTGATTTCAATCCATCAACTACCTCATGAAAATTATATCTTAATATTTCAGGAATGTATCAAAGTCATTTTTTTAACTCGCGGAAACAAAAAATATACCTACTTCCAGACTAAATTCTGGACAAAGATTATTTTACTGACAACTCTCTAACTTTTTAAATAGTTGTTCGACTTTGGTTGCAGACTGTAGACATTCCAGTCTCAGATCCGGCCGCAGTATTATTACGCTCATCGTATATTTAATCAAAACCTAATTTTTACGTATATCTATGAACAGGAGAAAATACTTTTAGGGTAAGTAAAGTTGCCGGAACTATGTTTAATAATAATAATAACTGATTTTGCAGACGACATTACGTTCATAAAATTGTTTGATCATTTATATGTCAAATTAAAGCTATTTTTATTCAGCGCATGATGTTATTAGGGGTGCCTAAAACTAAATAGGGGTTGCCACGGTTCACGGAATTTTGTATAAATACCAACCTAAAGTATATATTACGATGTATTCAGGAAAATATTTTAACTTTTACAGCGTGGCTCAAAAAAGTAAGTGGAACGGGATAATTTTTTTTAAATGGGACACCCTGTATATTAATGCATTTTTGGCTTCCCTTCTGATCACTTTATATATTCCTAAGATATTATTAAATATGTTTCGATAGTTTCAAAAATATTAATAAACAAATAAAAAAAGAAGTGTTTTAAAAAAAATATTAAAAATACAAGAAATGTTCTGTAAACAAAACCATACTAAATATTTACTATTGGTGGTCTGTACTTACTTTACAATAAATATCGTAATCTTAAACCATACAGGGTGTTCAAAGTTCTATGCCAAACTTTCTAAAATATAAAATCATGGGGGGCGGTGTCTACACATTTTGTGGGGGCGCCAAATTTTGTCTTTACCCACGACGTATTTTACCCTAGATCCGCCACTGACTCAGCTACTCAGCCGCTGACCGTCCCTGAACGCGCTCAATGACCAAACAATTTTATGAACGTAATGTGGTCTCCAAAATCAGTAATTATTATTAATGGCACCCTGTTAAAAGTGTATTCTCCTATTCATAAATATACGTAAAAAATAGGTTTTGACACAAACTAATTTGTAGTTTGTCTGTGGTTTTGATTAAAAATACGATGAGCGTAATAATCCTGCAGCCGGATTCTGTACTGTTCGTCTTGGAGTGTTTTTTTTCAAATTTGTTATACAGGTATTCTGTTTCTTCCAGTAAAATGATCAGGTAATCAGTATTTTTTGAGAAGTGAAATATAGGATAAAAAAACGTTTCATCAAAATCTGGAGACAATTTTAAAAGCTGTCGGGCTGCCAGACTGACTTGAATTTAATTTTAATCACTATTTATGATAATAAATAAAAAACATTAAAATACTTTGATAAAAACCCTGTTTCAAGTCCTTCTGCTGGATAATTGTTTGTGCTGAATAACCACTTTGTTGATGATTCTAAGCATAGACACCACTGGCGCTTCAAAAATCAAAGATAAAACAAAAGAAACTATAAACGAGGCCACTGTTTGTCCCATGAAAATAGTCAAAGTCACTGCAGTTCCCAAATGCAAAGGGCTATCTGTCGTCATCACCATTCCTCTTATCAGAATTGGATGTATCAAGTAGGCGCAGTACGTAACTCTGCTAAATGGATACAGTATGGGCAAGGAAAGGATTTTATTCACTATACCTGAAACAAAAGAAAGAATAATTAAGTGCCACCTGTGAATAAAAAGATTGAGGAAGGAGCATATCAAAAATCGTAGATAGAACGCGACAGGCTCCTGAAATGGCCGACTTAAATTCCAGTTTATCGGTGCCGTTCTAATTTTATTCAAAACGTGTAAAAATATTGCCAAGGTGTATGTGGCGCTAAACTGTATTGCTGGTTGCCAACATTGTCGCAACGTGTATTGCGAAACCTGGCGAATTCGCCAGAAAGTGAAAGACATTTTTAGGCGCCATCTCTTAATCATGTCGACAAGTAAGCGAATCAGACAATAGAATTCACTAGTAGATGGCAGAAAAGTATCGAAAATTACAGAAGGTTCGAGAAACAGTCAGTAGAGTATATAAGCCCGCGTAATCGGCAATTGGGACAGTTTGAAGTTTGAATATACCGCGTCCTACATTGCGAATCGGACAATTTGGCGAAGGACTTTTATAAATAGTTAGTTGTGTGTTTAATTAGTATAAATGGTTAGTGTAAATAGTATATAAAGAAGAAAAAAAAAGTATTTTATCGTGAGTTTAAATTAGTGGACCCATGGAATCCGTAACAATATGATTTAGGGTAAACGTGGGGTAGATTCAATAATTTGTTTTTTTTATTTTACGCTGTGAATAAATGTTGGTAGTTATTAAAATTGTTACAAAAATATATAATTCTAATAAAAGTAGATAAGTTATAATAATTATTTATTAACACAAACATGGCGATACGCTACTGAAGCAAGTAAATCAAATTGACGTATCTAAATTCTTTGACATCTAATCTTTGACAAGTAGTAAGTAAAAGCAAAAATACAAGAAAAGAGTATATTATTAGTTAATTTTAAGCGAATTGCATAAATGGTCGGTTTACTACACGTATGTATATTAAACGTATAGTCACTTACTAGCGAAAATTATTCCATTACTCGATTTTTGACCGAGATCTACCGCACACCGTAGTCTTTTTCGATAAATCGCAATAGTGTCACTGTTAAAATTTAAGTTCTGCCACAATTTCCTTCTAGATTAACTACCTTTAAACAACTATCAGTAGTAGAATAAAGAATAAATAACATAAAATAAGCTCAGTAAAGACTGAAAAATCCACAAAATTTCAAATCAAATTCAAATGTGTCAAATGAATCATCAAACAGAACTGTCAACAATCCCCACCCTATCGTATTAACGGATGCATGAAATTCAAGCTTTAATATACGTAAAAAATGACGGAAAATTATAGTTTTTCACTCCGTAGTATTATACAAGTACGGACGAAAAGTTGTGACTCTTCAAACCATTTAAAAAATATGTAGGTAGCGCCTCCTACAAGTAGGAGTCATATTTTCGATTTTTTTGGCACTGTATAGGGACAGTGTATAGAGTGAGCTTTAAATAATTGCAAATATTTTCAAGGCTGGTAGATCTCGATAAAAGAAACATAATATGTTTAGAAAATATTATTTTCCTTTTACCCTTTTTCAATTAAGTCCAAAATATCCGAGTTATTCAAGTTTGAAATTTAAAAAAAAATTGAGAGCCACCGGATGTTTTCTGTATTTGCATCCCTTTTAGCGTCGTAACCATAGGTCGAAACATGCTACCCCTAAATATATTTGCACTTATTTAAGACTCATTCTTTGGTTACATTAAATTTTAAATTATTCAGAGATTGACTGATTACCTCCATATCCAGTAACACAAGCTATAACTATCCAAGCCAATCCTAATGCCCACGCCGAATGGCTTAGGGCACTGTACAGGGCACCAACTATGGGTGATAAATTGGCCTCATACAAGCCATAAACTAGGGCTAGTAACAGGCCTGTAGATACAGTCCAGCCTATTGTGAGAGTCCACTAAAAATAATTATTTGTTTATTAGTAGTAGACATTGGTTAATTATGAAATAAAATAAGTAAAAGTTCACTTTATACTTTTATAATATTATTTATAAAAGTTCGGTTACCTTTGACATCGATATGCGACAGTCTTTTTTAAACAAGATCCAACCAGCACACATTCCTATGAAATAAGGTCCCAGTCTGGTCCAAGGTTTATCATAGATTTTATCAAACAGCGCCATAGGATCGTCAGTTCCAGGCAGGTGACTGTTGGAGTAGGCTATGTAGCCTGTTGTTATCCACGAACTGACAGCTATGACTGTTAGTAAAGAAGCCGCACTTTTGAAATGCCTAGAAAATACAGTTCGTAAATAAATAATTACAAGATATGATAGTAAGATAATCAAAAGTTTAACGGCTCAAAATTTATGCATATATCTCTTGAGATGTAATATTGAAATTTTCTTTTTCTAAAAAACGGCGTCAGCGATGGCTGTGAAATGGAGATCGCTGTCATTTTATATGTAAAATTATATGGGAAATGTCATCGATCGTCGTTTCCAAGCCAACTGGACGCCGTTTTTTTTTCGATCATACGGTATTTCTCTGTTAATAGTAGAATTATTAATTGTTACCTTGTAGCAACTATTAGAATGATGGCTCCTATAACATAGAACTGGCTATCATCAGAGATGTACCAACTCCATAGCATACACTAAAAATTTAAACATACTTATTTAAAAAAAAATGTTGTGATTAACAAATTAAGGTTTATGTAGATGTTTTATGATATTTTTCCAAAGGATGTTTAGATAATAGCCAATTTCCGAGTGTTCCTGTAGGTACTATTATCCTTTTTATTCACTAACACTGCCGGACTTGTTGGTTTATGGCTTTATGTCCTTTTCCAGCAACTTAACTTATGGATTCACGCATAACATGGCATATTGGCACTTTTTAAACTCTTGTGGTGCTTCTAGTAGGTCTATCCCACTTCTGATATGTAATAGTACAACTTGTATTTTCAAATAAAACACTGAATTTCTCTTATAACTCCTTTATTACATCGTTGTACTCAGGATTACAACACAAACATGTGCTTCGTGCGAGCGCCCGGTACCGACTGCCCGCGGGCGCCTCACTCACAATATCTTATCTACTATAACATTCTATAGCCTCTGTCATAAAAACCATGCATTGTGAATAATACAATCTGACATACATAAACCTGAATTTGTTAATCATAACAATACACTATATAAGCAATACAAAATAATTATTACTAAATAATATCAACATCTACATAAACCTTAATTTGTTAATCATAACAAATTAAGTCTAAAATTTGATCAACTGTCTCAAAAACCAAAAAAAAATAATGGCAGATTTAGTGTTTAGATAATTTCCTGAATTTATTTCTTTTACTAGAAGTTAGCATATTATTACATTTTTTTGGACACATTTTAAATTCTTAAAAAGGCAAAACATACATCCTGTGTTTTACTTAAAAAAAAAATTAAAAAATATTAGAATTCATTTTGAAATAGCGGAAAAATACAGTAAGGACTAAATACAGTAGTACATATATCTAGTTTTGAATTGGCCCTGTATTAATGAATTTACTCTCTTTTAGAATGATATTCGTTTTAAGAAAGACAGTTAAAAAGCATTAATAATTTGCTATTTTTCAGTTTTGAGAGGGCTTTTAATGTGTAGACAATTTAGTCAAAAAACGGTAATATTTCAAAAAACCACCTAGTATACATTTTATGTTATTTTTTAATGAAAATTTTATGGTAAATCCACCTAACGAAAAAATATATATAGCAATCCATTTAAAAAACTATACCTTTAGTGTAAAATACTTTTGAAACATACGTTATATCTCTGAGAATATTTTTAAAATGTGTTATATGCCAATTCCGGCATATTTGAAGTGAAAATCTTAAATAAGAAGCCAGATTGGAGCTTTTTTTGGAACACTGGGTATAATATTTTATGTTCTTACCATTTGTTCTACTGGGAACAAAGTATTTATGTAGAGTAAATTTCTCCACCAATATTTGGGACAATTCTCATGATCTAAAGCGGGCACCTCAAAGACAGAGTTGTAATTGAACCATTTCATGGCTACTTCTGTTACTCCAAGAACAAACAGGTATGGCGCTGTAAGTCTAAAATGATGAAAAATAAAATTACAAATGTTCAATTCATCCTATACCAAGAGAAATCCAAGGTATTGGATCGTTGTTTCTGGTCATACTGTCTTTGCCTTTATACTATTAATTATTTATTATACAGGGTGGTCCGAACTGTATTTCGAAAACTTCGGCAGCATATTCTGCAGATAAAAGTAAGTAAAAAAGTTCGTATAAATGTATGTCTTAAAATGTTTAGTTTCGGAGATACAGGGTGTAGAAGTGTCATTTTTATTTCGATTTTTTCTAAATAATTTCTGAAGTAACGTCAATATCTGGATGAAAATTGGTGTCTGGGAGTTTTGTGATACGAGAAATTTGATTTTGAAGTCAAAATGACTCCTATTTGTAGGGGGCGCCACCTACATGCGTTTTGACTGTTTTGAAGAGTAATAACTTTTCGACGGTACCTGTATAAAACTACTGACTAAAAAAATTAAAATTAATTTACATTTCCATGGCTTCTTACGTAAAAAATGTCTCTTGGTAAAAATCGCTACGAGCAACCGTTCTCAAGATATTTAAAATGGAAATAGTCAATACATGGCATTATTGACAAAAAATAAGCACACGTTGAATAAAGAATTGACTGAAATAATAAATGTTTATTTTTTTAAATTAATCATAAATTGTTCTGCGAAAAAATGATGATTAAACAGTTTCTGTTGAACTTTTGGCACAAAAAGATTTCAAATTTAAGATTTCAGTCTAGTTTAATTTGTCAATGTTGATAATTTTAATTTCAAATATCTCGAGAACCATTACTCGTAGCGATTTTTACCAAGAGACCTTTGTAAAAAAAAGTTGTAAATGAATATTTTTTACTCAGTAGTTTTATACAGGTATGGATGAAAAATTATTACTCTCCAGACCAGTTAAACCATATGTAGGTGGCGCCCTCTACAAATAGGAGTCATATTGACATGAAAACCAAATTTCTCATGTCCAAAAACTGCCAGACACCAATTTTCATCCAAATATTGACGTTACTTCTTAAATTATATGGAAAAAATCGAAATAAAAATGTAATTTCTACATCCTGTATCTTCGAAACTAAGCATTTTAGGATATACATTTATACGAACTTTTTTACTTATTTTAGTCTGCAGAATATGCTGCAGAAGTTTCCGGAATACAATTCGGACCACCCTGTATACTGATCACACAAATGTTTATTGTTACTACAACAAAACTAAAGCCAATACTAGAAATACAATTTCGTAATTACTCATCAGAAACTTTACTAGATATTAAAAGAATTTCGGACTTGTCCATTGTCTTTATTTATTTTAACTCGTACAACGTTTTTGGTCAGATGTATTATCCATCTTGCTCAGGTGTAAACTAAGAACGGTCAAAGTTTACACTTGAGAACTGAGAACGGTCAGAATGTAAATAAGGAGCGGTCATGACGTCAAACTAACGTGTTAAGTGTAAACTGGGAACGGTCAGAGTTGACATTTGAGAACTGAGAACGGTCTAAGCGTAAATTCGGAACGGTTATGGGTATCGAACGAACATGTTAAATATAAACTGAGAACGGTCAGAGTTTACATTTGGGAACTAAGAACGGTCAGAATGTAAATTGGGAACGGTCATGTGTCGAATGAACATGTTAAGTGTAATCTGAGAACGGTCAGAGTTTACACTTTAGAACGGTCAGTGATACATCTGACCAAAACGTTTTTTTTTTGTGGAAGTGACAATAAATAAAGACAATGGAAGTCCAAAATTATTTAGGATCAATACCGATCAATACTGAATCACTATCTATGAACTAACTAATAGATTAAAGATACAATATATTTTATTTTTTCCTTACCTTGCAAATCTATAAAATATCAGTCCCAAAAAATGTAACACTCCGCCTATAAATTTATTTCTTCCTTTGGATAGGGGATCCAATTTACCTTTGGCGTTGGTCCTAAAATACAAGAACGAAACTAACAGTCCACTGACAAAGAAGAAAGTGTCCACACTAAAAGCCCCGTTGATGATAGTTTGAAAGAAGAATTCTTTTTGAATCAATCTTCTAAATTCCATATTATCTGTAACAGGATTTAAAAAATAATCGTTATTATCTTGTAATTAAAATTTTAGGGACATTTTATTATAGAGTCTGTAATATCATTTTAGTACCTGAGTATTTAAAACAAATAATGCAGGTGTGTCCCAAAATTACCCAGATCATACTGATTGCTTTAAGTCCATGGAGGACAGGTATGGTATCACTTCCAACTGATTGATCACAAATCGTTTTCATGTTGGCTTTGACAGAAAATGACAGGATAAGTTCCTTTACAATCATTCCTAAAAATATTAACAAATCAACATGCAACAATCAATATATTTCTGTACAATCAAATACGAGTATCTTTGATTTACCGAATTTAGTCCAAGTTAGAGAATCACCCGTTATAAAAGATATAAATTTTTTGCAAAACCAAAAGTATGTTTTTATAAGTTCGAATTAAAATATCATTTTTGTATGTTAATACTTACTGTTTCAAATGATTTTTTAAAATTTTCTAAATATACCGGGTATTTTTCAAAAGTGCTATCCCCCCTATAACTTTTTTATCTTTTCAGATATACCGGGTGCGTCTCAAAACTGGCTCACCCCTATAACTTTTTTATTTTTTCAGTTAAAAAAAACGAGATTTGCTATGTTAGTATATGACATAAATTAGGATTGATTGACGTATTCAATTGTTTTCGGTCACTTCCTGTTTCACCGGAAATGAAACTTTTGATTTTTTTCTTGATTTGAAATGGAACTTTTGATTTTTAAATGACAAATTTGAAATGATAAAAAAATCGCATTTTAAATTGCAATCTAGCGTGCCATGGCTGTCTTAAAAACACTAATTTTTAATCAAGGACCCTTTGAAAAATATATTTGATCGTTTAATATTTTTCGTGTCTTGTCCTGACCTGTTAAAAGATGTCCAAATCGTATTTTTAATTATATCTCAATTTTTCCAAATAGAACAAGGGTGGCTCGTTAGCATATTTGGAAAAAAGCTTTTCTAAGCATGTTACGATTTCAAATAAACCGTATGCGGAAATGTCAAAAGTTGACATATGATATGCCATTCTATTCAGAGTGTCATTTTCTATCGAATAAGGTAAAAAAATACCGAAGGTGTCATTTAAAAATCAAAAGGTGTAGTCATTTCCGGTGAAACAGGAAGTGACCAAAAACAATTATTGAATACGTCTATCAATTTAAATTTATGACATATCCTAACATACCAAATTTGTTTTTTTATCTGAAAAAATAAAAAGTTATAGAGGTGAGCCACTTTTGAGACCCACCCGGTTTACCTAAAAAAATAAAAAGTTACATGGGTAGTCCACTTTTGAAAAACACAGCGTATTGAGGCAAAAGCATATAATTTTAACGATGTACTTAAACAGTCGTTAAACGGTAGCCTACTAAAATGCCGTTAATAGATATTGTGACGTCGTTCATGTCGGCGGAAAGTAATGCCTATTCATAAACATATTGCAAGAGCACCCGTGGCTACGTGGCTGAGGCTATCGGTTCGTGAGCATATTACGAAGGTTTTTTAAGAGTTTTTTCCTCCGATTCTACGGATCTGATTTAAGTAACCAACATATTTATTAAAGTAAAGCACGTCGGCATTGCCTCTATACTCCCAATGCATGTGTGAGCAAAAGCGGAACATGCAGTTCTCGCCCGGTCAATAAAAGAGCTACCTAGGGCAAACATCGGACCCCCTGTTCACAGGGTTCGCTTAGGTGGTTGAGTGCTTCGTCAGAAGAACAACATACCATCTTATCATGTTATTTTATTTATTGTATATATTGTATATAGCACGTTTTTATTGTATTTAAGGAGACATTCTCAATAAATGCTTTGAAACTTGAAACTTGGTTCGTGAGCGAATGGTCCAGTGTTCAAATCTCACGCTGACCAAGACTTTTTTATATTTTTTTTGCTTATAGCGTGATCTTATTGCATTGGTTTCACTCTTTTTGGTTGGATTGGTTTAGTTATTTGGCGGGTTGGTTAGCGTGGTTATTTGGAGGATGTTAATTCATTGGTTAGTTGGTTATTTGGTGGGGTTGGTTGGTTTTTACTAATTCTATTATAACTTACTAATTACTAATTCTATTATAATCTATCTAACATTTCTATATTTCATAAAGCCGTCAAGTGCGTCACATCAACGACGTCATACCTATTAACGGCATTTTAGTAAGCTACCGTTTAACGGCAGTTTAAGTACAGCCTAATTTTAAAATACAATAAAGTTAATTATAATATTTGCTATACTTTTCTATACAGTATAAGCTTAAACCTACTTCCATAGCTCTTGATACCGACTAAAATAAACTACTTAAGCATATACAGCTCAGAGAAATAAGTGAATTTAGTGAGTTCTGAAAATCAATCAAAAAATGTGTTGTTTTGGTTCCCTCTATCAGATCGTTGTTTTTTATATTCTAGTTATCTATCAGCCTCTATATTTACTTATTTCTCTGGTAAATATACTGTGAAGTACCTACTCATAATCAGTTTATATTTTGATGTTGCGGAGAAAGCCGAAGATCGTGAAGCATTTACTTCAATTGAAGGCAAGCTACCATTATTATTACCATCGTTTGATGTGTTCCTATTTACAACATATATTCCAGATTTTCCTATAAAAACGTGTATTATATACAGGATGGTACATTTTTTGGTTTAATATGAAGCCTTAACTTAAAAACTATTCAGTGATTCGATATTCAAAAAAGCTCGGTATTTCATAAATCATCCTTGAGCAAACTACAATAATGCATATTATATAAGCGATACCAAATAAATTTTTAGTTACGTCATTGAGGGCCCGATTATTAAATTCATTGTTACCAGCCATGGACATATTCGGCGCCGGGCTAACTGACTAACTGGAATTTAAATTTCCCGCTGGCGAATCAGGTTGTAGCTCTGCTGTAAGAAATGTGAAGTTGCCACATTAATTTATTTATTTTCTGACATTTTAATTCATTTTGACACTTTAGTTTTATATTATAACCTTTTTTTTAAGTGAATTGTTCTGCAGTTGATTGAGACCTTGCAGTCGAATTTTTCTTTTTAGAATCGCTTTTAGTGCGAAGTGTACAAGATGCCGACAGCCGCCAAGCTTAACAGCCGTTGCTAAAAACTCATCGGAACTAGTGATGGGATAACTCGAGCGAAAATTCGCTCGAGTACTCGATTATTGAAGTAACCGACATCGATCGATTATGAATGAGCGATGCAAGTGATGAGTTACGAGCGACGAACGCAAGCCATCCTAGAATTAAATAAATTGAAATCCGATTTTAATGTGACATACTCGATAAAAAGCCGAGCGAATTTTTAAATACGAGCGATATTTCGCTCGAGCGATCGCTCGATTATCGAAATCGCTTAAATTCGAGTACTCGATTATTGAAATTAATCGGTTTTTCCCATCACTAATCGCAACCTTATTAGAATATTTTGAACGAGAAAGCGGTAGTAATGGCTCTTTATGTCCCTTAAGTGTTGTTAAGGAGGTGAGTTTTGTTGTTGTAAATAATAACTGTTTATATATTGTCAAGGTGTATGTGGCGCTAAACTGTATTACTGATTGCCTACATTGCCGCAACGTGTCAAGAAACATGGTCAATTCACCAAAAAGTAAAAGACATTTTTAAGCGCCATCTCTTAATCATGTCGACAAGTAACCGAATCAGACAATAGATTTTTCCAGTATGAAGTAGAACGCTCTCCGAGAATTGTAGAAGGTTCGAGAAACAGTCAATAGAGTATATAAGCCGGCGTAATCGGCAATTGGGACAGTTTGAAGTTTGAATATACCCAAAGAATATACCGCGTTTAAATTATTACGAATCGGACAATTTGGCGAAGGAATTTTATAAGTAGTTAATTGTGTGTTATTAGTATAAATTGTGTGTAAATTGTGAGAAAAAAAATTAGTTAAGTCTTTTATCGTGAGTTTAAATTAGTGGACCCACGGAATCCGTAACAATATTTATAATTAATTTATTTCTGTTTTCTCAAATATTTTGATCAAAAGAAAATATGTAAAAGTGGACAACGCTGTGCCGGTCAAGCTTAATCACGTGACTAAAAGTTTATTTGGTATGATCTATAGTTTTATCTACATTTTTTTATTTCAACTTACCGTTGTTCGATTTTAAACTCGGTACTGAAAACCGTTGTGTTATAGTAGCGACTCTTTTATTTTTCTCGTGTTCCAGGTAGTAATCGAAAATGGTACCACCTGTCAGTAAACATATCATACCTGCAGTCACCACACTATATTAAATAAATAAAAATTATAAATAAAACATATTATTAAAAAAAGCCTCGGGATTTGGCCTTTGAACACCAGCTTGTTAGTGGCCTTTTACTCATGAACGAATTTTTATAACTAAGAAAAAGAACTATAGGGAAATTAAAACAACTTTGGGTGCACGTCATCAATGACACCATGCGTCGTATTATGGAGTTTGCTGGTGGTCGTATTAGAGATGGGAATTCTTGTTCCTTGGGAGGAACTAGTTCCTTAGTTCTAGTTCCTCCACAGGAATAGTTCCTTGATCTAGGTCTTTAGTTCACAATAGTTCCCGACTAACATTGACATCCCCCTTGCTTGCTAATGCGTTTCATTGTCAGTCAGAACTATTCACAGTATGATCTGTATAATTTTTATAATGTACGGAGATATAACGAGACATGTAATTGTGTATGTTAAAAACATATAGGTAAGTTTTATTCCAGATAAAAAAAATAAAAAAATAACTCAAATCAGAGTTTAAAAAACTATATCACAAATCAATTGGAGCAAATATTACAAAAATTTTACAAAAAATTGCATTTTTCCTCACTTCAAGCTTTTTGTTTTTGTCTAAAAATTCAGATATCTATTTCGTTTTATAAGATATTTCTTAATTTTAGGGACCTAAAGTGAAACATTCCCATAAAATATTTAAAAAAACAAACTAAAACTCAAAAACAGTATCCACAACAATTTTCTGTGGTAATTACGCCGGCTGTGGCAATAGATAAGGCCGAATCCGTCTTGTATTATACCTCGGATATGCCGACTGAATAGATTCCCGTGAACTAGTCTTTTAATTAGTTCCTCTATGTCCGGATCCGATAACATACGGCTGGCACTCCCCACGCCTGCCTAGCATCAATCGCGCTGGCTGATCCATACGTAAACTAGTATTTTATTTAGTTCCTTTAGGTCCGGATCCGATAACATACGGCTGGCACTCCCCACTCCTGCCTAACATCTATCGCGCTTTCCCGATCCGTACGTACCTAAACTAGTCTTTTATTTAGTTCCTCTAGGTCCGGATCCGATAACATACGGCTGGCACTCCCCACTCCCCACTCCTGCTTACCATCGGGCTACGCGCGCTGGCCGATCCGTCGCATATTATTATATATCGGTCACAGTCTCGATCCCGGAATAGATCCTGAGGAACTAGTTCTTTGAGAAACCAGGAACTAGTTCTTTTCATTCCGGGGTCGGAATAGTTCATTGGAACTAGTTCGTTCACGAACTACACACCTCTAGGTCGTATTATGATGTGCAACCAAAGTTATTTTAATTCCCTATATTTAAAATATCTAAATGCAACCATTGACGTTCTGTTTTTTGCTTCTGACTACGCGTTTCGAGGTCTACCCCCTGAAACATAAGCAGTTAATTAGGCAAATTTGTTTACAAGTAAAAAGCCACTGACAAACACTGGTTTCCGTTTGTGACTCTTAACTACATTTTTTATTTTTCAGATTTCCTCTTCAGTGGTAAAATACAATATGATCGAAAAAATACGGCGTCAGCGATGGCTATGAAATGAAGGTCGCTGTCATTTTATATATAAAATTATATGAAGAATGTCATCGATCATCAGTTCAAAGCTAAACAGACGCCGTTTTTTTTATCATACAGTACATATAGAGGTATTAGATATTACTTAAGATATTTGTGTATACAATTTCTATTTTTTAGTATGTTTTATCAAAAGATATTTTGTTAATTTAGCTATTTTTACCACAAAATAATAAATGTAGGATCCATCCATACGACGAATCTGTCATGCCTAGAACGGATTTTGAGGACATCTACTGTAATTTGAGGTGCTGTGGTCGATGTTTCTTCAATAATTGTTTTCACATCATCGTTTGTACAAGCGAAGGGTAAACAAAGACCCAAATGTAATATTCTCTCCTGTAAATAGAAAAGAATAATCAAAAATCTTTCATTTCTTATATTTTCTGTGTTACTCAAATATTTCACTAACATAGCCATCAATAGATTTATGGAAAAATTAATGAAAATATAAGATATGAAAATGTATTACATTGTGTAAAAATTTGTTATTTATCTATTAAAAGTTACCTCTGTAGTGAAGGTAGAATTAATGTGGAGTCTCATGGTATAGAAAGCAACTGAAAATGGTGGTGTAGAGGTATAAACCAAAGGTCCTTGTTTGTAACCAACCGCTTGGCTGGGACTGGAGGGTAGAAACTTAGTAAGGGATGCTGCCCTAACCATTCTGGACCTGTTCTAAAAGGATAAAGAATAGATTAATACTCATATTAAATAATTATTTATTAATAATTATTATATTAATTAATTATTTATTATAATAATTATTATTATTATATTAAGCCAGAGAATACAACATCGAGATGTACCTGTGCTTCGTGGACCAGTGGCGTATATAGAGGTGGGTCCCATGGGGCCCGGGCCCCCCCTAGAAACTATAACTTGGGTTAACTATTAGGCTTTTGGGTCAAAAATGGCACCCTAAACAGCATATTCTACATTACTTTTTATTTGGGCCCCCCCTAAAATAAATTCCTGTATCCGCCCCTGTCGTGGACTACTCCAAGGCGTTTGATAAGGTAAAATGGAATAAACTTTGGACTATTTTACTAGAATTGGGCAGTCCACCTCACCTCATTTATTTGGTTAAACAGCTCTATGAGAACAACAATGCTAAAATCAGAGCTAATAACACGTTATCGAGTGGTTTCAAGAGTAACGCAGGTGTGAGACAGGGATGTATTACTCTCGCCAATCCTGTTAATTCCTACACTGAATATATCATGCGTCGAGTAGTAGAAGAATGGAACGGTGGGATATCCGTGGGGGGCAGGAGATTAAATAACATGAGATACGCGGATGATGATACCGTGGTTATAACCGCCAGCAAAGAAGAGTTGCAAGAAGTCATGGCTGCACTGTGCTCTATTAGTAAAGAATATGGCTTGGAACTAAACGTAACGGATTACCTTGGTCGGAACTAACTAATATTAAAGCTTGGAACTAACTTGGAACGGAACCAACGGAAACCCAAGACGATGATTGTTGACCGCCTCCGCAACAACCAACCTGATGTCCGAACCGTGGCTGGATAAGAGGTTGTGTGCCAGTTCAACTATTTAGGTTCCATGATAGCAAACTCTGGAGGATGCGAGGCTGAAATCAGGCGCAGAGTGGCAATGGCGAGGAATGCAACAACAAAGCGGACTAAGATATGGAAGACTTCAGTAATCACACGGAAAACTAAACTTCCCATTGCGAACTCCCTCATTTTCCCCATAGCTATGTATGGCTCTGAAACATGGACGCTAAAGGAAAGTGATAAGCGAAGAATAAACGCCTTGGAGATGTGGGTATATCGACGGTTGCTGCGAATATCATGGACGGCTCATCGAACCGACATTACCAAATTGAATCGGTCAATCCTCCGATATTTTGGCCATATTGCCAGGAGTGGCACCTCAATTGAGAGACTGATTTTGGAGGGGAAGGTAGAGGGAAGACGATCACGTGGAAGGTCACCTAAGGTGGGTAGACCAAGTCAAAACCCTAGTGGACCACAACCTCCCCAAAGCCTCACATGAGTCACATGATGTCACCATACTCTCACACGTAGGGTGAAGGACTGAAGAGAGAGACCACAAAACACCATTTTATTAGCCGACCATACCAATAGGTATGGTAGGCTATTAGGATCGGAAAAAAAAGTTTTTTTAATTTCACTCAAAATGAGTTATTTGGGTCATAAATGACCTAAATACAAAATATTTTCATGGTGTCTGTCTGTCTGTCTGTCCGTCTATAACACGATAACTCAAAAACCGCTGAATCGATTTTAACCAAATTTGGCACAAAAATACTGTGGCACCCGAGAATCTGGCCATTAGTTTTTGGTGGGGGTGGGGGGTTGGTAAGGGGGTACGAGAGGGGGTTAAAAATTTTAAAAAATCGTAACTCCAAAATTACAGTAGCTAGCGAAACGCGGTTTTCAAATTAAGATTAAGAATAATATTTGCAACAAAATTTGTAATAACATCAAAATCAGTCAAAGTCGCAGTTTTTGAGATATTAACATATTTTAGTATGGGCGGCTATACGTGCCTCCCGGCGCCAATTTTTTACTCTTTTTTAACTGTATTGATAAGATTTGATTATTACGCTCGGTAAAATACTAGTAGAGTGCCTATGCAAATATTCAATTTTCATACAGGGTGTTTAAAAAAATGTGTGCCATCTCTCGTGGAGAGATTGCTCACGTAAAAATAAGATTTATTTTTCATATTAGTATAGGTCCGATTCTGCTTTGTTTCCTAGCCACAGAGGGTTAAAGTCTTCATCTTTTTTGATTTATTATAATTTTCTTCCATGTGCTTTTAGCGATTCGAATGAAATTTTGAGGTAAAACCTTTGGTAAAAGTTACTCTCTTCTTCTTCTTATCACGCCCTCTCCTGGAGAAGGTTGGCGATCCAAATGGCAATTGTGGCTCTGGAAACTGCAGCCCGGAAGATTTCCGCAGACGAGCGTTCAAACCATCTCCTTAAATATTTTAGCCAAGAGTTCTGGCGTCTTCCTACTGATCTTTTCCCTTGCAGTTTGCCCTCTATTATGAAGCGCAGTATTTCGTATCTATCACCTCTCATCACATGACCCAGGTATTGCATTTTTCTTTCCTTGATGGTATTCAGTATCTCTTTTTGTTTCTGCATGCGCTGGAGTACTTCATCGTTGGTGATCCTTGGTACCCATGAGATTCACAGCATCCATTTTCGGTCTGTGAATTTAGTGTCTAGCTCTCACATCCATAGAGTAACACAGAGAAGACGTAGCATCCGGCCATTCGAGTGCTGAGTTCCGCACTGAGATCTCGTCTTGTAAAAATGATTTCATACTCACGAAGATTTTTCTCGCTTGCCCAATTCTTGAAAATATTTCTCTTTTCGGGTCGCACTGACTATTGATGTTAGCTCCTAAATACTTTATTGAGGTCACTTGTTCAATTGTTTGTCCCTTGACACGCAGGTGTACATTTATTGGAGTCTTAGAAAAGACCAATAGTTTGGTCTTGGAGACATTGAGATGCAGTCCAAACATCTCACTATAGCATGGACTACCGAATCTATGATGCTTTGCAGTCCTTGTATATCGTTGGCTATTATAACCGTATCATCGGCATATCTGATATTGTTTATTGGGATTCCATTGAACTTGATTCCGCCCTGGATTCGAGCCAGTGCTTCTCTAAATATAGTCTCCGAGTACAGGTTAAACAGGGGCGGAGACAAGACGCAACCCTGTCGAACACCCCGTCTGATTTGTATATCTTCCGATGTTGACTGCTTCATCTCAACTACCGCCGTTTGATGCCGATAAAGTTCTGATATGAAACGTAGGTCTTGTTCGTTAACTCCGGTTGTTCTTAGAATTTTGATCATCTTCTGATGATTAACACAGTCGAACGCCTTACAATAGTCTATGAAGCATGCAAATACATTCACATTCATGTCTCTACACCTACGTGTCATTACATTTAGGGAGAAGAGTGCTTCATGCGTTCCGAGTCCGTTTCTGAAGCTAAACTGGGTGTTGTTCATCTGATTTTCGCACTTGTAGATTCGCGTGTGAATGATTCTAAGAAAGGTTTTGAGGACATGGGACATAAGAATTATCATCCGATAGTCATCACATTGTGAGGCGTTGGGTTTCTTTGGCAGTGTTACGAATGTTGATTTAAGCCAATCTGACGGTATTTTGCTTGAGCTATATAATTTGTTAAATAATGATGTTACAAAACCTAGGCTTTTGCTTTCGTTTTTAAGTTTATTTTATCGGGGCCGGTAGCTTTTCCGCTTTTCTGTGCATTTATTGCATGAACAACTTCATCTTTGGTTATTGCTGGAGCCTTTTCATTCAGTATGTGATCCATCGGTGGTGGGGAGCAAGGTCTGTCATCATTAAAAAGGGTTTCGATATATTCTTTCCATCTCGCAAGCTTAGACTTTACTCCTAGAATTATCTCGTTGTTATCGTCTCTTAGGGACTGCTTATTGGTGTTTTCTGCGTCTGTGTGTAAATTCTTTCACTTTTTTTATGAACATTGAAGGTGTGAAAAGTTATTATAAATAGGACATATTTTAATGCTAAAAAAGTGTCGACATATTCACCAGGGACGTGCATATGAGTTACCACTGGAATATTTTTTTAAAAATAATATGTACGCCATTGACTTTTTTTCTTCGATTATTAAAATTGTGTAGATCGTTAAATGCTGATTTAAAGTTGTCTCTGTAAAACCATAGGTATAGACATTTTTTTCTTATTCTAATAGCATCCAAATGTAAATAAACTTGCCGAAATGTAAAATAAGTATACTCATTGATTCCTCATCAAAAAATATTAAAAAGAAGTTCCTATAAACTTGGGTGCGGAAATGCTTAGTTTTAAAAGTACAGGATATTAAAACTTTTAAAAAATAGGCCTTTTCTAAGTTTCTTAAATACCATTATTTTTGGGGGGAATTTGCTCGGGCTAGGTAGCACTGTACTCAGGGGCGCAACTAGACATATACTTTTGGGGGGGCTCAAGTTTTTGGGGGGCTTAGGTCACTATAAGATAAGATTCATGTGAGGTTAAAACCAATTTCATACGACACGCACCGGTCATCTGGGGGGCGCAGATGACTAAAAGCCCCCCTGCCCCCCCCTGCCCCCCCACTAGTTGCGCCTCTGACTGTACTACACAAATACACTGTGTTATAAATTTTAATAAAATTCAATAATAAATTATATTAATAAATAATTAATTAATTTTAATTTTATTAATTGTGATTAATAAAATTACGTTTTCACATCAAAGAGATTGAAATGGACAAAATATCAAGATACAACTTTTAATCGGCATTAGATGGCCTACACACCTTCGGTAATACGAGAAAGAAGTCAGTAGCGCACATGTTTTTTTAGAAAAATATTCCAGTGATAACCCATATACATGTCCCCGCTGAAAGCACGTGGAAGAAAATTGTAATAAATAAAAAAAAAAGGTGAAAACTTTAACCTCCTAGGTAACTACGAAACTAAGCAAAATCGGACACATTATGATAAAAATATATATGAAAAATAAATCTTATTTATACGTCCAAAAATAAATCTTATTTAATCTCCACACGAAAGATGGCACATGTTTTTGGTTGGTTGTTGGTTGGGTTTAATTAATTTTGTCACAACGACTCTGGAGTAAA